GAACTCAGACCTACTGAGGTACACTGCTGAGGGGAGCAGTGGGGAGACTAGTCATGTGGTCTGCTAGTCATGTGGGTCACTCCCCTGACCGGGGATCCAACTCCTGCTTCAGTGGCTGTGGAGAGCTTCACAGAGCTGCAACTTAACCCCTGCACCACCAGGGAGGCCCATTGGGCTTATTTCTTTAGGAAATGATTTCTGAAGGGGAAGTCCTAGGAACACTTTCTAGACTCACATCACGTAAGAATCGTGACTCTGGGCTCTGTAGGGGACGCCTGGAAGGCTGAGTGATGTTGCCACAGTAACACGTGACTATTAAACACTCAGCATGTTGATCAGGTGGTTTTCTGGTCATTTCTCAAAGAGAGAAAAGAGGCTCAAAAGCCTTTGAGGACTTGCTCTGTGTCCTGCGAGGAAGGGGGTGGGCGGTCAAGAACAATTCAGATCTTACTCGAACCTTCTGTCCACTCAACACCAGCTGCACAGGCGAGGCATCCAGGCCTTACCGGAGGGTTTGACGAGGACGGCCAGGAAGTCCGTGGTGAGGGAGCTGACGTAGAGGAGGATGCAGGGCGCCTTGGTGGTGCTGAAGCTGAAGCGGATCTCCTCGTGGGCCAGGTCTGGGGGTGAGCCCTGCGGATCCGGGGAGCCCTCTGGCCGGCTGCCCGCCTCTTTGGTATTCCCTCCTGATGCCTGGAAGTTGTATCGCAGCCACATTCCCTCTTCAAAAAATGCACCGACATCTGTTGCACAGAAAAGAAGAGAGAGCGGTGAACAACGAGGCGTCGGGGTCAGTGTGGATGTGGCGACAGGGGACCTGGACCGGGTGCTCAGGCGTTTGCCCAGGCAGACGCCCTGCAGGAAGACCACACTGGGGAAGCTGCGTGGGTGGATGGGAGCTTGTCAGCACCGACGCTCCGTCATGAAAAGAAATGCATGTCCCAGACACAGTGCACTATAAACTCCAGACCTAGTAGTAAAGAGGAAGAAGCTAAACCACACCACAATTATCAGGCACTTGCCAGCCAGGCAGTCCCTTGGGTTGCAGAGAGAGATGGAAAGTAAAGGCAGTGAGGACACAGCGCCTTCAAGGAATGTCGGGGCAACCTCTTTGAGGTGCGAGTTGCTTGAGAGGTTCCCATGGGAAGATGTAGCATGAACCCCAAGTCCTGGGGGCCTTTGCATATAGTGTTTCAAGTCGCAAGTTTCAAAGTAAGAACTGGGGTCACACTGGCACTGCCGTTAACAAGCTGGGTGACCCGAGGGGACGTCACATAACCAACGTCTGTAGGTTCCAGAGTTCTGTATGTGAAAGGGAGGTAACGGTACCCCTAACTGTACGACAAGTTGGTACCAAGTAAGTTGTATCTATTATCTTTACTATGGTCAAGGGTTTCACTTTGGGGGCACAGCTTCTGTGGGGGCCGGCACTGAGCACAGGTTGGGGCAAGCAGGAGAGAAGAGATGGCCTGGCCTGAGGCCCCCGAGTCTGAACAACCCAGAGAGGAGCAGCCTGGACACAGCACAGGAAAAGGGGTGTGGAAGAGGAACACCTGGATGCTTGAAATTCAAAGTCCAGGAGTGAAGAACCTGGGCCGTGGGAGGGGTCCCGGGCAGCAGAGGTGACCAGCAGGAGGCCTCAAGGTACAGGTCCTGAGTGACAGGTGCAACCTCGTGGCAAGAGCCTGTGCTTGGCAGAACCAGGTGGCTCCATGATGCCAGTCCCGAGAGTGGGCAGAGCCGTGCCTGACTCATGGTCCATTGAAATGCCCAGTGCCCGGAGCCGGGCCCCAGCCCCAGAATTGAGCTCAGAGGGTCTGGCTCGGAGGGTCTTGGGGAGCAGCAGGTGTTACGGGCTCCCCAGGGATGCTTGGGCATTTGAGTTTGTGCTCCACTCCTGGGGGCAGAAGCCCAGGTGGGGCAGGAACTGGTGATGTGGGGGAGCCCCCTGCCTGGGGAGACACCAGCTCCTGCCTCAGCTGACCTGCAACTACCAGGATCATGAAGGGAATTGAGAGAGCTAAGGACTGCAGACCCACCAGCCAAAAACATGCCACAGAGAACACTCTGGTGCCGTTCAGAGTCACTGTTAAAAAGCTTTACGGATTTATGGCAGTTTTAGAGGAAGAGCTGTATGTACCAGGCTTAAAAGTGTTATTGTGAAATCACATCATAAACCAGCTGTTAAAGCAGAGTCTGGGGGTGCTGTGGCCGTTTAGGGTGCCAAGTGGCAGACCCAAGCTGTCATTTCCTGCATTCAGATGGTTTTAAGGAAATTCAGGGTTCCGGCTATCGTTCAGGAAAGCAACACTTTCCCTCCCTCTGTCTGAATGAGTAACAGAAATGACACCGACCTCCGTGCCCCAAACCTGCTCCTTGAGGGATCACGCAGTGTTGATTCAGGATGCCTGGTGTAAGCTTTCTGTACTCAAGCTGAAGTTTCACATTATTCAATTTTTGGATAGGAAAAATGACAACATTTGAGTCTGGGTATTCTCAGATGTACACGGAGAATCGTTATGTGATGTCACCCTTCTCAAACTTATCAAATACATTTTGCCCCCGGGAGACGTCGCACCATGAAGGTGATGGGGACCTCGAAACGGAAGGTGATGACCTCGAAACAGACAAGTAACCTGGCCTCAACCCTTCTTTGGTTGACCAGATGGATCATGCGTCAATTACCCCCTGAAAAGATGTTTACGAATGCTCCAGATGAGACCCACATATCACACATCCCATAACACCACAAAGATATTCTTGCCCTCGGCGAACCGAATGCCCATGCTCCCAGGGGCACCCCACACAGCTGGTGCAACCCCGTCATTACATGCTCTTCACCATTTTCTCCTCCAAGTGCAACAATTCTATTCCTTTTGCCTCTTCACTGAGGAGGTATTTTGTCACCCCCATTTTTTAAGCTGCCACGGCTCCTTTGTTCTCTGACAACCCCACGAACACCCCGAATTGAAAGACCCTCAATCACAAAAGGGCTCTTTTCCAAAAGTTTATTTTAAAGTCAGTAACTTGCAACTTGGAAATCTCTCCCCATAGAAAGCAGGCTTTAAACGATGGTTAGCTGGGCAGGGTTAGCCACAAGTGCTGAATCACTCTGGATGGGCCATAAAAGATAATTGAAGTGTGCCACTGTGGATTAGTGATTAAAGCAGCAGCAGCAACAACAAATGTTAAGGTTTATTTCCAAAGTGAGAACTCACTCCAGGGAACTCCACCCCCGCTAGGATTTCATCTAATGCGCCTGGTGGTGTGTTGCTAAATGTTAAACTGCCGGCTCTCGGGGAGAGGAGCCCTGATTTGCAGGGTTGGCCTATTCCCCGGGTGTAAACACCCCCTCACGGTGGATTTCAAGTTGCCAAGACAACATCCCGGCGCCCGGAGCTGAGCAGAGGCGTTCACTGGGGTCCAAGCAACAGCAGGGACCAGCGCCGGCCCAAGCTGTCCCTCCATCGCTCACCCACAGGTCAGCCCTGCAAACCACCGTACTGAGCCTCCTGTGCAAGGTGAGCTGGTGGGCTACACCCCCCCCCCCATCATAGACGGCATTGCAGACCACTGTCACCGCAGTAGAGAATAATGCAACTTTAGGCAATGCTATGTAGGGACGGGGGGTGTCGTTAGGGACTGTGCTAGAAGCTGACTCCACCCCGGAAGGGCTAGTGCCACCTTCATGGGCTGGACCAGCTGCTCTTACACCCCCTGCCCAGTCTCCACCCATCCTGCCTGTGGTGTCTCCTGGCCTGGTGCTTCCTCCTCACCCTTCTGCTCCCATCTTGTCCTCACCCCCACCCTTCCATTCTGTCCTGAGCCACCTGAGTGCCGTCTCCTCCCGGAGGGCCATGGGCCACATATTGAGCCCCCTCTGACCTCCATCCCCTCTGCTGTGGCCTGAGCCCAACGGGGGCCTCACTGGCTGGCAGTTTGGCAAACGTGCTGGAGTCCTGCTGCGTGCAAGGCCCTGTGCTAACAGAAGCGACCGACCGTGGCCAGCACCTCTTCCTGAAGCAGTAATTGCCTCCTCGGGACACAGTGTGAGCTCTGGAAGGCGAATGGAGAGAGCCAGCGGGCAGGCGTGGGTGTCTGCACTCCTACAAGGAGAAGGTGGCCGGGAGACGGGTAGCCACGAGGCCGTCAATGCAAGATGGACAAGCAGGTGGCCCCTCCCGGCCCGGGGAACAGTGAGAGTAGAGGCGTGAAGAATGGACGGCGGGTGCTCGGGAAATGATGTCGGGCTGCCTGGCCCTGGCTGTGCTTTACAAGAGGCCTGAGGCCACCGCTCAGCACACTGACCCCCCTGTGTGGGAGAGGCCTGCCTATGGGGGTACATATTTCAGCATCTTCCGGGGTTCACATGCAGCCAGGGGCTAATGTAGCTGCTGGAGGCGGGCGGATATAATGGTGCTAAATGTGTCAGGAGAGGCTGTGGAAACACGGCGGCTGGAGGCCATGAGGGTCTGGACTCGCTCTCTAAAATTATTTGAGGATGAACAATATGTTGAAGTAATTTCAAATTTACAGGAAAGTTGTAAGATTAGAACAAATAACCGCCACTTCCTGCATACCCAGATTCCCACTGTTCACCGTTACACACACACACACACACACACACACACACACACACATGTGTATTGACACACACGGGCATCTATGAAGACTAAAGCCTGAGTCATTCAAGAACAAGCTTAAGTCAGGAACCAACATTCAAGTAGCTTATTGCCCCATTATTATTCCATTTCTGGAAAAAAAATATATGCAGAAACAAATATGTGCACACAGAGCTTTGGGACACTACTTTGAGGCCAGATATATGTACGTATATATATGTATACACACATATGTATTTCCATACAGAGACCTTTTGCAAATAAGCAGGCGGCATAACTTGTGGGCCCTCTCCTGCTTTCCACCTGGGAGCAAGGGAAGGTGGGGTGGGGGGCGCTGAGGAGGCCGGAGCTGAACGCCTCATTTATGCACGTGGCTCCTCACTAGAATGAGCTCATCTGCAGCCCAGTCAAGCCCTGGCTTCCAGTCGATGTACAATAAAAATCTGTGGAATCGAGCCCAACTGGATCTGAATTTTTATATAGCCGTAGTATCTTTTTCAATGGGTGGGTCCGCACGGACTTCCCTGTGGGCATTTTCCAGTGTCATCTCAATGTGAATGTCATTCATTGAAAGGGTAGGCCTGAAAGAAGAAATGACGTACAGCTCATGATATCCTTAATTTCTATCACTTTTTCTCTTTTATGTGGGCTAAATAATTGGAATACATTCAGTCAAGCTGGTTGAAAGCTTGAGTGACTTGAACAGGTAAAGCTGTCCCGAACCCAATGCCTTATTTCACTTCTGCTCTGGTTAACTTCATTGTTTGCTATGAAGCGGTTGCTTGTTTAATTATTTGTAAAATTGTTAAATGATCTAATCTGTGCCTGTTGCAGACACCAGGCTGTGTCTTCCCCATTCTTTTGTTAAGCCTATGTAAGTCGCTTCTATGCTCTATACTTAACACTAAATATGTCATATTTTCTTGCTTGCTAGTGGATCTGACGAGCCAAATAGAATTCTTGACCATAAGGGCCCTTGAGGACACATGTATTTTTTATTACAAAAGTTTAGTTTTACATCATCTTGCACTTTTTTTTTCCATCTCAATTGTAATCCCCACGGTTTCCCATCACCAAGTCACCCGTGTGCCATCACCATAATCCCCTGCATTTCCCTCCCC